AGGAAGGAAGGAAGGAAGGAAGGAAGGAAGGAAGGAAGGAAGGAAGGAAGGATCCCTCCATCCATGCTCTCCTCTTAGACAGCATCCTCTTCCCTTTACTCCTCATCTAGATGACTGCTGTTCATCCTTCGAATCTCAGTTTACATGTAACTTCCTGAGGGAAGTCTTTTATGATCACCCTGAAGCCAATCCACAGACTCAGTCAAGTCCCTCTCTATTATTTGTTCACATTGCCTGAGCACTTTTCCTTCAATTATAAAGTGTTATGTAATTGTTTAAAGTCTGTCCCTCTCATTATAGTGAAAATTTCATGAGGGCATGGGTGTACGTCTTTCTTATTACTGTATTCCTAGGGTCAGGCACATGGCCTAATATTTAGAAAGGTTACGTTAAGTATGTGATACATGAAAAAAATAAATAAATGGATGAATGTATAAATTATGAGGACTGTATAATAAAAAAAGGTTTCCTTTGTAGAGTTTAAATAGAGACCTTTAGAGATTAGCAGATCTATAGCAGGCATATTCTTAACAGTAAGACACCATGAAAAGCATAGGATTCAGTTACTAGTCAGTCAGAAGACCAGAGTTCAGGTTCTAGTTTAATCAATATAATCACATGTAGCACACCTCACTATACTTTCATTTCTTCAGTTAGAAAATGAAGAAATAACAAAAATACCTGCACTATGTACCTCACAGGACTATTTTAACAATTAAATGCAAATGCTGTGAAGACTCATGGCACACATTCTTTTAAATGAATGAATAGTCATTGTGGTAGAAATAGAAGTACTTCTTGTTACCACAATAGTGGTAGTTCCAGTGCTAGTGGTGTTTTTCATTCTGATTGGGGAAAATAATAATGAACCAAAGAGAGATTTTGTAAAAATAATTCATTTTACTAGGCTTCGCACAATGATTGTGAAACACAAGGAAAGGTATCAAGCATATATGGTATTTTGCTATTCTGCTCAGATCAGGAAATGAGGCTCAAAATTATAAAAGAGAAGAAAGAAATTCTTTTAAGAACCTGTCACGTGCTAGGCACTATTTCATGTATTTTACATTTATCATATCATTTAATCCTTGTGACAACTTTGTAAGATAGGCATTATCCCCATTTTGCAGAGGAGAAAAGTAAAGCTTAGAGAAGTTTTTCTAAGGCTATCCACCTGGAAATAGTGCTCTCATGGACATAACCTAGACTCTGCCATTACCAATTACTACCCTTCTGCTCTAATTTCAATTTAATCATTTGTTCTGTGACCAACACCTCCTGATTCCACTCACTCCCTTTAGGATTTCGACTCTTAACAATTACTCATCCCTTTCAGAACCCACAATTCATCTGATCCTACCCCCTTCCCACTGTCTCTCAACCCTCTCATGATCTCCCTTCTCGGCTCCTTACCCAGCCTTGTCTCATAATCTACCATTGTAATCACTCCCTATGTATACTTTAATTGCCCTTGCCCCCTCTCTTTCTATCCTTATAATCTACAAGTTCTAACCTTGGTTAAATCTAAAATTCTGTGTACACTATACCAACATCTGTACAGCAGAATGCTGCAGGGGAAAAAAAACCATAATCATGCTGCTTGGTATCACTGTAAATTGATAGCAAATAAAGTCTAGTAACTCCTTAGTGCTACCCAGCAATTCCACTATATTCCCCTAATACACTTATTCTACCACTTTTCTAGACAATTAATTTTTACCTTTTCCTCTTGTCTCAAACCTAGGCCCAGAAATACAGCACTACGTATCAAGAAGATTAAGAATGTGATAAGTAAGTTCATAATTTAAGATTAATTTATATAGTAACTGATAACAAGGAGAAAGTATGATGCTTAATAAATAAGTGTTCGTGTCTCGTTCTCGATAGGAAGGAAGAGCACCCTAAGCTTAGGTAACACAAGTAGAGGCAGGGAGGATGACTGACTTCAGTTCAGTTGAGGTGGGATGAGAACTGCAATACAACTGCAGCTTGAGGTGCTCAAGGATTGGGGAACCAAGGATGAAAGAAGGAAAAATAGCCAGAGATGAGGAGAGAAAGGTAATTTGGGGTCAGATTTCTTCGTGGCTTCGAATATTACAAACACACACACACACACACACACACACACACACACACACAAATATTTCATCCTACTGGCAATGAGAAACCATAGAAGATTCTCAAGCAGGGGAGTAAAAGAAGGCATATTTTACAAAAACATACAAATAGTTGGTGGTACTGTAATAAATGACATTGTGAAAAGGAGAGAGCACAGGCAGAGAAACAGCAACTTAACATTTCTAAAAGAAAGATAAGATCTAGCAAGATGTCAAAGTTGGTGGCAGCTGACTTTTTGGTTCCCAAGCTGATGAGTTAATAAAAACATATGATCATTACTAGTTTATAGGTAATATTTAAAGACAGAAATATAGATAAAAGCATTTAAAACAGTCACTAAAGAACTGAAGGAAATTTGAGAAACATTTACATAGAAAAGGCTTGCTATTGTTTGAATGTTTCTGTCCTTACAGAAAGTCACATGTGAAAATCCTAATCCCCAAAGGTTATGGTATTAGGAGGTAAGGCTTTTGGGAGATGATCAGGTTAGAAAGCAGATAATGCCCTTGTAGAAGAGATCCAACAGAGCAATCAAACCCCTCTACCACGTGAAGGCAAGCCAGAGTTGAGAAGTCTGCAATTCAGAAAAGGGACTTAACTAGAATCCAACCATGTGGGCATCCTGGTCTCGGACTTCCAGCCTCCAGAACTGTGAGGAATACATTTCTGTTATTTACAAGCTACCCAGTCTGTGCTATTTTGTTATAGTAGCCTGAACAGATGAAGACAGAACTGAAAACTTATCCTCAAAGATTAAAAAAAAAAAAAAGGTCCAAGAAAAAGTAGTGTTATATGAGTCCAGTTTCCAGGCAAATGAGGGTAGTCTAATGGCATTAAATGGTGCACGGACATCATCAGACTGGCAAAAATTTTAAAGACTTACCACATACCCTGTTGGTAAAAAATAAAAAGAAATGGGCACTTTCAAATCAAATTAGAATAAATGTAAAATATATTGACATGAAGTTTATGAAGGATAATTTACAACATCAACATTTTAAATATATAAACCGTTTGACACAGGATTCCCTCCTCTATGTTTACCCTATAGAAATACTTTTACAGTACACAAAGACATAGTCGTGTATTCACGAGTTATCCCTGCAGCATTACTTGCAATAGTAATACACTAAATTACCACCAACAGAGAAATGGACAACAAAATTATATTTACCCATACTATCACCCTAACACAGCCACTTAAAAGAACAGGGGGACAGGAACATACTGACATAAAAGGATGTCTAGAATAGACTCCGTAAGTGAGTGTGTGAACAGGGAGGCGTCACAGAAGCATATGTATATGATGATTCCAGACCTGTTAAAAACGGAAAAACTGTGTCTTGTTCATGTATGCATCACACAGGAAAAAAAGAGAAGAAAAGACCACATGCTTTTAACAGCATTTACTCAAGGGGAGTAGAAATGTGAGTGGAAGAGGCTTGGGAAAGAGGAGGGGGCCGCACTTTACACTCTACTGTTACACGTGCAACAAGCATACGTTACTTGGATAAGAATTTTTAAACTACCAATACAAATATAAATCCAAAAAAAGTTAAAAGAGAAATTTAAAATGACTAGAACTAAAATAAACTCTTAATAAATGAAAAAATTGGCAACTGCCATTCTCACCCTTGAGCCTGATCTTTCTATTGTCTTTTTTCACAATGGCACCACCGTCCTCTCAGATGCCTAAGTTTAAAAACCTGGGAATCATTCTGTAGTCCTTCCTCTCCCCTCCTCTACTTCATTCTTCAGTCAGCAAATATTCGTCAAGTGCTTTCTATGTTCTAAGAGCTATTTTAGACACTGAGAAAAAGACTTTACAGTTTTGTAGTTATAGAAAACTGCTTACAGTTTTTCTCAGAACAAATCTGACAAATGCAGAAAACAAAACTGCCAAATCAATTGCAAGTCCTCTAGTTTCAGTTTTCTAAATCTCTCTGGAATCTCTCCCACAACTCAGTTTCTACTAGTTTTCGTGGTTCAAATAAGAGATGACCAGAGATTAAATTCCTGCGATTCTATTCTTTCTAAATTCTTCCTCACATCCCTCTAATTCACCTTCATATGATTTTGAAGTTGAACATGTCATTCCTCTTGTAGAAATCAAATGCTTCTGTTATCTTCTTAGTAAAAAAACAAACTCTGTGATATGCAAAGTCCTTCATGATGCCCGTGTATCCTCCATGTCCACCACTCCTCTCACCCTCCAATCCATATACTTCACACCAGCCACGCCGAGCTGCTCATTGTTACCTAGCATTCATATTTTCTCAGGCCTCCATGCCTTTAAGGAACTACTTCTGCTTAGAATTCCTTTTGCACAGCCCTGGCAAACTCCTGCACATCCTTTAAGACTCAGTTCTAGAAATCTAGTTTTCCCCTGTAGTCCCAAATGCACCTCTACTATTACCCAATACAGCAACTGTCCACAGTGGCTATTGTTCTATAAGCTCTGTAAGGACAGGCGCAGATTCTTCTAGTCTCTTTAATCCTAAAGTCTACTTTAAAAGCTAGTATGTAGTAGATATTTCACACCTATCTCATGAATAAAGAATGAATGATTGAGTGCTTAAATAGCTGTGTGACCCTGAGTAAAGGCATATAACCCAAGAATTAGTTTCTTAGTATATAAAAAGAGGATAATTATGTGTACCTCATGGGGTTGTTTTGATAATCATGGGAGATAAGTTAATCCCTATAAGTATATCCTAGCACAGTGTGTGGAATATATTTAGTAAAAGGTGGCTTAACACACTTTTAAAATTAGGTTGTATAAGCTAGCCTGGAAGCAAAGCCTTTTTATCCTTATTTCTTTGGTAACCTACATCCTAAATTTCAAACAAACAGAATACAACATATCTATAAATTGGAGTCCTTCTTTACTCTCCAGCAAACAATCTCTTCCTTGGTCAGGCTTTCTTCATTTTAGCAGCACTGAACATTTCATTCTCACTCTTATCTCAAGGTTTTGCTCTATTTATCTCTTTTGATTAGAATTTCATCTCCTCTCTCTTCTCCTCTTAGCTGAACTTTGTTGGTACTGGAAAGTTCACAAGAAAATCTCTATTTTTGTTTATTTTCCTATATTGTCCCATGTTGCAACTATATGGATATATTATTTATAATAGCATGCCACCTTCCAAGTTTCAGTTGTTCCTGCGACTGTGAAGAACTATTAAGGTTTCTCTTCTACCTTCAGTTTTCTAGTCCCCTTAAGAAGCTATCTGATGATTAGTCTTCACTGACAATTCGGCAACTTGATTTCATATACAGACTCCAAACCATACTCTTCAATACTGAGTTCTCAATTACCCTGGATTCTCTACTATCATTTCACAGGCATTAGTTTTAACTCCAACCAGACTGCAAACTTTGAAATCTTGACTTCTGGTTCCCACAACACTAAGGAAAGTCTTGAGCCTAAAAACCAATAAATACTTCCAAATTAACCTCAAAAAAGACATTAACTTCTAAACAAAATTAAAATATTTTATTAAAGATATCTATAGGTCAATGAGGATACAATTTATATTCCATTGTTATCTACCTTCTTTAAAATGTGTATGTGGGATACTGACTAGCCAATTTCTGGATATCCTGTTTTTAAAACAAACAAATAAGTAAATGTCAATAAAACTTAGAAACTTTTCCCCTGTGTTCACAAAATCCCATCATTCTAAATTTAGAATTTGTTTCAGAAGTAAAAAAAAAAATCAATGATCATGCTAGAACACCATAATCTTGTTTCATTATTGTTGCAATGTGTTTCCTCTACAGGTCCTTGAGGAAACAATTTGTTTCATTGTCATCTACTCTCTTTAAATTCCATATGTGGGTATTAATTAATTAAACAAACATAATCTTGGTTTAAGAAACATGAAAATGATTTATTTTATATAGATTATATATATTGTGGAACATTAACATTTTTTGATAACTTTAGAATTATGTCTAAAAACAGCAGAGGAAAGAAGTAATTTTTTAAAAAACTGGAGTCTACATTATGTGACATGGCTCTGAGAAAAATCACTTTTTTAAAAAAATAAGAACTACCTATTAAGTTACCTGTAATCATTCCGATCATCAGCTTTTATTCCAGGCCAATCTCTCTTCAGATATTGACTAGCCAACTTCTGGATACCCTGTTAAAAAAAAACAAATTTATTTTATAAAATAAGTATTGTGCCATAAAAGAGGATCTTTTCCTCAAAATACAGTATTTTGGAAATTCCATCTTCCCAAATGTAAATTTAATTCAGAAATAAAGAATTAATGTTAAATGACAGAACACTATATCTTGTTTCATTATTGTCACATTTTGTCTCCATTTTTAAGAACAGGGTGAGCATAAGAATCAGAAAATTGAAACTTAATTGATATGCTTTTTACGCTACCATACTATTTGACCAGCCATAACAAACAACTACCTCTGCTATATCACATGGAACACAGCCGTCCACCTCCATGGGGCTCTGAGTACACCGCTTGACATCTCAATTTCCCAGGGCTGCTGTGGCATGTACTGCATTTCTAAATCTGAGCAGCCAAATCCTCACATACCAGGAAAGATAACGACACATTCAATTTGGAGCAGACAGATATACATTGGTTTATAAAATCATTGACAAACCTTGGTGCTGTTCCATACTAGTACTTTTCAATTCAGATTTCAAGGGTTTGTGCTTTTTAAATAATACCATTTCAAATGAAAAGTTAGTTTTATGAAGTATACCCACTTACTGTTATCTATACAACATGAACCTAGGAAAAACAATATTTATCTATAACAGGTATGGTGGGTATCAGGATTTGAACAGAGAAGACTATTTTACGGGCAAGTGGGGTTAAACTACTCACTCTACAGAACATATTACTTTTAGATAGAAACCTCTATAGTCCTCTAACACTATAACAGGGCCTAATGTGATGAATTAGAAATCATTAACTTTGAGATACTCATTTCTATACATACAACTTTAAAAAGAATAAAAAAAATGCTGAGATGAAGAACAATCACAATAATTAATAGACTGCACACTTTAAGCAGAGGCTGCCCAAGTAAAATTAATGCTATGGTATTATGGTACCTTTCTACTAAGGTCTGCTGCCAAATCAATTTGGCTTAATTAAATACACTGTTGAATGCTTCTGTTTACTATTACTGCAATGAGGCCAAAGGGCAGCAGGAAATGTAGAGAAGCTCCTTTGAATCTCAAGTTCCTCTTAAACTTGACGACAGTTTGGTTTCACTATTTCTAGGTACTGTGAATTCTGAGAACACACATATAACAGCATATCCACAATATTTCCACTTACAAACCTTATACCTTGGGGAACCCAATTACTAAGTCTTTGATGAATATGTACAGTACTTTTCACTTTTGTACCTTGTTCAAACTGCTCTTATTTGCATAAAATATCTTCCCACACTCTCATTCCTACCTGCTGAATTCTCACCGCCCCTCTTTTAAACCGATTTTTAAATTTTCTAACAAAATATTCAAAAGTATATACAGGAAAATGTGAAAAGTTTCATTGCCTAGGTATTTTTTCATTTCATTTCATTAAAACAGAATAGTTTATCATTTTTTCTTCACTTATTAGCTGGAATTCTTTTTTAAAGAACCCCCCTGAACTATTCTATTATCCTGAGGTACAGTTCTTAGAGGAAAGGCAAGATAAATATTTGATGGTTCAATTTTGGTCCAAAGGTAAACAATGAATTTTTAAAGTAACATTATGAACTCGTATATTTTAAAGAAAAGATGTGTTTCAATTTATTGCAGTCAGTATTCTTTTGATGTGCTAATAGTGGCCAGTTGGGAGCCCCTCCAAGTTGGCTCCCATATCATGACCCCAATAGACTTAGTTTCTTTGTTTTCTTTTACAGTTCCTATTCCAGATCTGCAGTAAGCTAGTTTTCCAAGGAATACTAAGTCCTTTCAGAGAGAAACCATATTTAGAGACCACAATCTAGGTACCTCCTTATCCTTCCAATCTTACTTTTTTGTCTAAGAGGCCTTTTTCTAACTGCTATATACAAAGCAGCTCACCTTCCACCCAGTTACTCTCTCCAGCCATCCTAATTATTCATAATCTTTATTATATTGTTGCTGCTTGGTTTAAATATATTAATCTGTTTACTAACTATTAACTCCATCAGATAGGAACTTGTCAATTTTTTTAAATCACTATGTCTCCAGGCTATCGCAGCAAAGAGCCTAGCATTTAGTTGATGCCAGTAATATTTACTGATTACATGAATAAATGTCACCTACATTATTTTATTTCTAATGTATAATAGCCAAACTCCTTTTGTGTTTTTGCTGTTCTCAGTTAGAAATGTTTGGATCAAAATTTCTCTGGTTCCTAATTCTCATACGTTCAAAGGGGAAAAAAACTGTACCAGATTTCTAAGATTATGACCAGGTAATTTTAGTAAGTTCCTCAGTAAAATTGTAGTCAAATTTGACCATCTCCAATACTGAAAGAGAACAAGTGTGTATACCCCAAAGCAATGGGGAAAAAAAAAGTTTACTCCATACTTAGAAGGTACTACACATTAATTTTTGTGAAGGTTCAAATGAGTCAAGATCCCTGAATTCAAAGAACTCATAATATGTAGATAGGAATAAGAAGTATGCAACATAAAATAAGAGGCAACACCTGGGTTACAACTAAGTAAGTGGCAATATGTAATAAGCACACAGTTGAGGAAAAGACCATCTGATGTTTTCTTAACAAATTACATCTAAATGACATGATAGTGACTTTTTCAGTTTAATCACTGCTAAAGTGGTTGCAGAGCACTTCATACAGAATATGGGATATGACAGGAGAAGACTGAGATTATGAGTAGACCTAAAAAGGCAGAATGACAGTACTCTAAATTTATATAAAACAAATGAACTTAAACATTTCAAAACATTTATTCTTCTTCTGTTAGGCCTTGTTATAACTACGGAAAAACTGGACACTAAGAGGATACATAATTTCCTTAAGATCACATAACTAGTTAAATTTGAATCAGAATCCCTAGTTATTCTAAATCTTTGGAAAAAACTTACCATCATGGCATGCATTTTATCTAATTTTTTTTTTAAATCTTAATACTTAACTTGTTATCTTTTTTCTGCATTATAAGTCACAATAGCAATTTCTGGAGCTCTAAACCACAAAGTTGAAGTGTATTAAACTGAACGAGCTCTTTAGAGATGAGATGAGGGATTCATGAAATAGACAAACAGTGCATCTTTAGATGAAAGACTTTATTCAAGTTAGTTCACAGAGACAGCAATCATGACTCCTGTGTGCTCCATGCAGCTGTTTAAGATCTCATCTGCATGGATGCTCAAGAAATACTGCGTGGCCATTATAGGAAAGGTCCTAAATAACATTTCATGCCTCTGAAAGCATTCTATACTTAAATTAACATTTTTCTTTTTTATGTTATGTTTAAAGCTACATCTTATAAATAAAAAGTTTATTTATATAGGAAAAAATCTACCCCAATTAAGTGGCTACAGAAAATAAAGTTATGACTGACGATGTTTAAATAGTTGTTTTTTTTTTTAATCACTCCTCCAGCCCACATTACTCTCTAAAATGGGTACGCTAGACATATAATATATGTTTTATTAAATGAGCATCACTGATGTATAATGTTAATTTGATTTCCAAAAACAATTTACTCTGGAGCAGTAAATTGTGGTTTCCATCAAAATGTACTATCAATATATTCTTTGGAACATTTCAACTTTCTAAAAAGCCATTAGTGTCTGATATAAGACTTGCTTTGTTTTATCTCTCAGTAACACTTGTTACATTGCTCTAACCAGTGAAGTAACACAAAGAAAGCCACTGTTCAGTAGTCATTGGGAAGTGGACTGATGGCTTAACCTTTTCCCCATTTACAACAGAAAACTGAGCAGGGGTGTGCTCCATGGCTCTCATACAAGTTATTCTGTATCCATTTTTTCCCCCCAACATACAGATGGCTCTACAAAATTATAGGAAGCCATGTTATTTATATACTATAACTTTTTATCATGAAAAGTTTGGAAATATTTTTCATTGCCCTATGTACTCTTTTACCTGGCTGTTTCTGAGTTATATTCCTGCTTAGAAGACTACTGCAGGAAAAGATTCTGGAAAGATGATGGAGTAGGAAGGACCAGGAATCTAACTCCTAACCCAGACAATATTCTCAATGGCAGAATGTTTCATATAACTATGTTGGAACTCTGAAGTCTCTTGAAGGCTTACAATTTCTATGGGAATGCTTACATATTAAATGAAGTTAATTTTTGGACAATTTCTGCACTTAGCTCAGTCAGAATTACCCCTTGCCTCCTAGCTCAGTGGTTGGCAGCCATGTACTTGTTTCTAGAGCAGAAAGGGTAGGGTAGGCAATAAGAGCCCTGTCCTCCAAATATCAGGGATCTGTGCTCTGATCACTGATTGCTGTTTCTGATAAAGGAGGTAGAGACACAGAAGTACAGATATAGAGGTGGAGAGCCATTGCTGCATCCCTATTCCCCACTGAAGAAAAGTGAACAGAGCCTAAGGAACATTTGGGACATCATCAAATTGATCAACATACACCTTGTGGGAATACTAGAAGAAGAAGAGAAAAAGGAAGGGAGAGAGAGATTATATGAAGAAATAAGGGTTGAAAACATCCTGAATTTGACAAAAGACAAGAATATAAACAGCCAAGAAGCTCCATAAATTCTAAGCAGGATGAACTCGGAGATCCACAGTAAGACACATTATAATCAAACTCTCAAAAGCTAAAGACAAAATCTTGAAAGCATCAAGAAAGAAGCATATTGCCACATATAAAGGCTCACCAGTAAGAGTATAAGCAGACTTCTCAACAGAAACTTGGGAGGGCAGAAGACAGGATCTGGATATTCAAAGCATTAAAAGAAATAAATGTCAACCAAGAATATACAGCAAAACTGTCTTTCCAAAGGGAGCGAGAGATTAAACCTTTTCCAGATAAACAAAAGCTGAGGGAGTTTGTGACCCCTAGGCCTGCTCTGCAAGAAATGCTCAAGGGAGTCCTGCAGGTTGAAAAGAAAAGATGCTAGATAATAACATGAAGTTGTGTGAAGAAATAAAAATCTCATTAAAGGTA